TAAACAGTTTTCAAAATATGGTCAGTGAACACATATATTTGGCAAGCACTATTTTTAGCTAAAGCAGATTTATCTGACCAAATGGTATTTCAGCATCTGGAGACCTGGATATTCGGTGCTGCATGGTCAGGGAGGAGAGATGACGGGGAGGGAGCAAGAAAAGGCCCCTTTTACCCTTTCAGGTAGCTGGCTTAAGCCCTTCTAGCAAATCAAAGCAAAATCAGCTGAGCCAAAAATGTATCACTCCCCCTCCGCCCCCCCGTACTCGTGACATGTTATGAAATAGATGAGCACGCTGGCTTTCCAGTAAATTTAGTATACTTTTCAGGAACAAAACTAAAAAGAAGATACCAGTGAAAAGCTATTTTACTACTGTAAAATGCCCTTGCCTCCTTCCTTGACCGTTTAAGGGATTTTTGCCTAAAGGAAAAAAAGAAAAGAATAAGAAATCCACTGGTTCCTCTCCTCTCTCTTGTGAATACATACATTGGAAAACGAGTCAGAAATTCTGCTATATTCTGGTTATGATCTTCAGGAACTCGTAATGCTCAGTATTAATCTAATTCTTGATTAAAAATATCTGCTAAATGGATGAGATACTGCTCAAATCAAAACATTCATGCACAATAGAAAGTATCTGGAAAAAGAATCAGAGATTTCTGAATTTTGTGCTTTTCGTCTGCAGCCTGACGACACGTCTCTAAAACTGGCTCTGCAGAATTTGTAACTGTATCCATGCAGGTAATATTTGCCCTACAATCTCTATCCTGAAATAAACAGAATACAAATAAACAAAGCACTTTTCTTGGTTCAAATTGCCATTTCGAAAAAAAAAAAATCCCTGCTTATATAAACTGATTTGCTCTTCCTAGCTGTGACCCTGCTTATAAGAATTACTGTTCGGAGCCTGGCAATTATAAAACCCTATTCTGTTTACAAGACTGAAAGCTGAGTTTTCGGAGCCTGGCATCTCTGTGCTGCTTCTTTTTTTCTCCTTTCCCCCCCTTTCCCCACTCCACATCTTTCTCCTGCTCCATTCTTTCCAGTTTTTAGGCAGTAAAACACGTGAAGCAGAGCAAGTATGTGTTAAACATCCCAATGCCAAAGAAGCTCAGAAGTAGCTTAAAGTAGCTTAATAAACCACATGTGGCCCATAATCCCAAAATTAATTTAATTTAATCACCTTTTCTTACACTTAAAAAATATTTTTCTCTCCCCTGTGACTGGGGGAGAGTCACAGAGACAGTGGAGAAAACGAGCTCACTACCATTGCTGAAAGGCACGTTGCAACTCTGACTTATCCCACGGAGCCTATAGCTCTTTTGGGAGCCTCAGATCAGCGGATAAACCTAGCCAGGAACTGAAGGGCTGTTACGAGGTGCCAAAAGTATGATTTAAAAATCAATTTGCAGTTTTTAAGTTTGAATTTCTCTACTCTTGAAAATTTATCAGACTTCTAGTATTTTTTCTTTAAAAAAAAGATATTAACTTCCCATGGCAAATTTAACAAAACTGTACTTAGAAAAGATCCTGCTGATATACTGCCTATTTATTTTTTATTCTACCTTTTCTATAACAATACTTGATACTTTAAGTAACAAATATTTATTACAGTCCTCTGCTCTTTTTTTCTCGTTCACCACATAAATCATGGTCTTCCTCTCCGTGCCTTTACAGCAGCCAGCTGTGGTTTTAGAAACAAATTATTATGACTCAAAGTGACGAATAAACAGCAGAAGCAAAGGAAATCTTGAGATACTATCCACATAAAATTACCATTAGTAGATAAAATAGGAAATCTTTAGAACTACAGCAAAGCTGTAAAAATAAGCAGCTTTGGGTCTAGGCAACATGGATTACATCCCTCTAAGATGATTTAGAAAAGTTTAAAGGAATAGTCCTGAATATAAATGCTATTATATCTGGAAAACATATTTTTGATCAAGAGCTTTGTGCCTGCAAATAATTACAGGCAATTCTTTTAGCTATAAAAATAGATTTTTTAAACTCTTCTGAATATTAGGAAGCCAGTGCAACTCTGCAAAAGTAGATCAGATTTTATGCAAGACCTCACATCATCAATAGCAGAACCGTTAATTCTGCCTCCTTTTCATAGCTATGCAAAGAAAAATCAGTGGGCTCCCCACAGGAGTAAGCAGGGGCTGCATTTGAGGCTGAAGGGCACAGAGGAAAAGAACGTTTTTCAAGATTGTTTTATACCATCTCTTGCAGTACACAAGCAAGAAAGAGCATGTTTGATTTTTCAGACCCCATTTTGAAACTGCAGTATTGCCAGTGGTCCAAACCACCCCTTTTTATGAACTGAACAAACTAAAGCTGAAAGTACTGAGACATTGCAAACAAAAGAAACCATGCTGACCACGTCACTTAAAAGTACTTTTTTTCTTTTTCTTTTTTTCTTTTTTTTTTTTTTGCAAATGAGGCTGTTTAATAATTAAATAAAGCAATTACTTTTAAGGGAAAAAAAAAAGAAAAAAGAGAGAAAAAAGAAAGAAAAAAAAAGAAAAAAAGATTATTAACTCTAAAGCTGTCTGTTCATCCATATCCTCGGGAATCATGTTTGGAAATTATAAATAATATGTAGAAGGAGAGCTCTTTGGGCTAGTTCTCCATGGTCAGATCTTTATTTAAAATAATAATTATTAGCATTATTTCACACATAATTGCAGGAGCTATCGATAAGCACCAGGGAGCCATCGGGGAGCTTATCTGCCTCCCTGCTAACGTGGGCTCGGCCCCGCTGCCTACGGGCAGGAGCTGGCACCGCCCGACACCGATTTTCCGGGGAACTTCATTAAAGCAAGCAAATAAATAAATAAATACAAATGAATCACTCGATAGTTTCTTCCCCTATCAAGCCCGAAAATTGAACCCCGTCCAAAGGCTGCCGTTTAATTTGAAGCGAGTCTTGACGCTTTGCCAGTGGCAGGGACGGGAATAAGCCCGATCCGGCTCATTTCGGCTACTTTTGCTTTGTTACTCTTCTTTTTTTATTATTTCTCATTCTCTTTTTAATCACTGCAACTTCACCCCGCCCCGGCAGCACTGAAACGCGGCTGCCAAACGAGCAGCACCCAACCACACAATAAATCCTTTTTTTTTTAATTATGATTATTTCTTTCTCTCACCCCAGAGAAAAGAAGGAGAACAAGCGGGAGGAGCGGGCTGCGCCGCTCCGGGG